AAAGGAAAAAAAGAAAAGCAAAAGGTCAAAAAAAAATAAATAAAAGGGATTTATTTTAGAATTGTGACGGCTTAGGGGACCCAAAGAAATTTAAGTTCTCGTCAGTTTGTTTACAGAGAAAAGCCTAGACTTCATTGCCTTATCAGAAACATGAGGTCGAGATTGCTCTCCATTCTTTCTCAAAACACCCTGTGGTGGAGAAGGATTTTTTGTGGCATGTCAAACCTGAAACCTCCAGGGGAAGATCTGCCGGCATGTTACTAGGCATTAATTTGCTCTCGATCTTTTGACATAGGAGAAATTGAAGAAGTAATTTTTTTTCAAGTTTATAATCCGAGATCTGTGTATGGTGCAGTGCAAGAAAAAATAAGGAGGCTTTTTAACTGAGCCTTTCCAATTATATAGTAAAGAAACTCTACCAATTTTAATAGGAAAAAAAATTCAAACTACAATGATGAATGACCTTTTTTTATTTAATGCTATTATTGATGCTTTTAACCTTAGAGAACTGAACTTACCTAGAAGGCAATCTACTTGGGCTAATAATCGATAAGTACAAACTTTTGAAAACCATGATAGGATTTTAGTCTGCATTTTTTAGAAAATTCGATAAGTACAAACTTTTGAAAACCTTGATAGGATTTTAGTCTGCATTTTTTAGAAAAAAAGGATTTTTTATTCCAGTCTCTGCAATAGTTTTGCACACAACCAATTCTTATTACAAATCTAGCCTCTTGTTGTTTTTTATGTTCTCAAAAAGCGAAACCAAACAAAGGAAAACTTGATTAAACGCTAAGCGCTAAGCCTTTTCTACGACGACCATCCATGCTTGGCGAAAATTTGCATAGCCACAGTCTCCATCATGTGACATATATGCCCGCTTCAGAAAAGGTTTGACGTTCTTCTTTTGCAGGGTGTTCCAAAAATGGTTCCAATAAGTTGCCCTGAAAACAACATGCAAATAAGAGTATAGTCGTTTTTTATAAAAAAAATCCCTTCGTTTCTAAATAGCCAAATAGACAACAAGATTGCACTTGCCCTCATACAAATCAGAGAGCGCAAGTGTTGGTCTGTTTGTACATCCCACAACCTAAATAAGTTGGTTACATCTTTTGGTGGTTCGAGATTAAAAGCCAATTGTCAGACTCTCCAAATAAATCTAGCCACCTGACAATCAAAGAACAAATGCTGTATAGTTTCCTTATTGTCACAAAAACAACATCTATCGTCTCCTTTCCATTTTCTTGTTTTTAAATTGTCTTTGGTTAAAATTACCCCTTTTACCAAGAACCAAATAAATATCTTAATTTTAAGTGGTAATTTTAACTTCCATAACAACTTGTTTAAAGGCATAGCAATTTGATTAATTAAGTGTTTATACATTGATCGCACTGTGAAAGATCCTATGTCTTGTAAGACTCCACTTAATGGAATCTTGTTGATCATCCAACTGCACAAATGCAATTTTAGCCACTAATTCATTCCATTTAAGTAGCTTTTCCCCCACTAGAGATCTTCTGAAAGAAATGTTAAAGGGTGTGGAAGCAAAAGCATTGGCTACTGATATATGTTTTTCCCTTGTAATATTGTATAAAGACGGATATTGCTCTTTGAGAGTGAAGTTTCCAAGCCACTTGTCCTCCGAAAACCTGGTTTGACTACCATTGTGAATGTTAAAAATGAAGAGATCAAGGAAGCGGTCTTTTGCCTTCATGAGACCTAACCAGAAGTGTGAATCTCTCGGTTTCCAATGAACTTCACCAATAGTTTTATTTTTCAAATATTTCTTCCTAAGAAGTTCTTGACAGATGCCATCTTCATTAACTAGTTTGTACAACCATTTGCTAAGTAAGGAAACATTCTGAATTTCAAGATTCATGATACTAAGACCTCCTTGACCTTTGGTAAACAAAGAATTTCCCATTTCAATAATGTACTTTTTCTTATGGTTGTCACCTTGCCCGAAAAAGCTAACCTATAGAAATCTATGCCTTTGGGTACTTCAAAAAAAGACATCATAAACATGGCCAAGCTAATCAGCACCAAGTTTATCAAAACTAACCTACCACCATAAGATAAAAGTTTACCCTTCCAACTACTCAACTTTTTTTGAAAGCGATCTTCGACCATTTTCCAGTCTTTATTATTGAGCCTTTTGTGATTCATTGGTATACCCAAGTATCTGAAAGGAAGATTACCCATTCCACATCCAAAGATTTATGAATATTGTTCCATGTGCTCCTTTGCCTCCCCATAGCAAAAAAAGTTCACTCTTGTGGAAGTTAATTTTCAAACCAGGCAGTTGCTCAAAGGCACATAAAATAATTTTCATGTTCTTTTCTTGTTCTAAATCATGCTCCATGAAAAGTATAGTGTCATTGGCGTATTGCAAAATCGAGAGGCCACCTTCCACCAAATGGGGAATGAGGCCTTGAATTTGACCACTCTCTTTGGCCCTAGTGATGAATATGGCTAACATATCCGCAACTAGATTAAAGAGAATATGTGAAAGTGGATCACCTTGCCATAGGCCTTTTCTGGTTTGAAAATAACGCCCAACATTATTGTTTACTTTCACAGCAACACTACCACCAGAGACGAATTGTTGGACCTATCGGCACCACAAAGGCGCGAATCCTTTCATCCTTAGTGTTTGCTGGAGGAAAGTCCATTTCACTTTTGTCATATGCTTTCTTGAAATCAACTTTAAAAATTACCCCATTTAGTTTTTTCCTATGCAATTCATGGATTGTTTCATGTAAAAAAAATCATCACTCCCTCTAAAATATATCGACCCGGAAGGAAAGCTGTTTGCGAGGGTTGTATTACCTTCTGAACCACAAAATTTATTCTATTTGTTGCTACCTTTGTGAAATCCTTGAAGCTCACATTTAAAAGGCAAATAGGTCTATACTGTTGAATCCTAATTGTCTCTTGGCATTTTGGTAGCAGTGTTATGATTCCGAAGTTGAGAGAAAAAAGTGGTAGATCTTCTTTATGAAAGTCATGGAACATGGCCATCAAATCAACCTTTATGACTTCCCAAAAAACTTGATAGAATTCAGCTGGAAAACCATCCGGCCCCGGTGCCTTATTGTGTTCCATTTGAAAGATAGCCGCTTTTACCTTTGCTTCAGCAAACTCAGCAGTAAGGATATCATTCTCAAAATCCGATACCTGAGGAATGTCCTCAATTCTACTCTCCAACATAGTAAAATTATTTTCCTCGGGAGGGCCAAACAGATTTTGGTAGTAGGAGGTTATGTGCTCTTTTAACTCTGTCTCATCTTTTATGATATTATTGTTTCCTTCTAACTGAAAAATTCTACTCTTTCTATACTTACCATTAGCAACAAGATGGAAATATTTTGTGTTGTTATCACCTTCTAATACGTCTTTAGTTTTCGACATTTGAAACCAGGCTATCTCTTCTTCTCTCAACAAATGAGAGATTCTAACTCTTAGACAACGAAGCATATCTAACTCATTTGGAGATACTCTGCCCTTCTTATCTAAAGAGTCAATCATGGATTTAATATTCTCTTTTTTTTTGCTTATTTTTTCCTCTAACGTGTCTTCCCCACCCTCTTAGATGTTGGCGTGTCCGCCTAATCTTGAATTGCCATCTCTGTAAAGAATTTGTACCGTTATTTTCATTATTCCACACATCTCTTACTTGTTCAAAGAAACCATTCGTAAGTAGCCAACATAATTCAAATTGAAAAGGATGTTGGTTGCCTTGAGTAGTAGAAGTTCCACAATCCAAAAGCAACGGTGTGTGATATGAAATATCTCTAGTTAAAGCTTGCACCACCGCTAAAGGGAATTTTTGTTTCCAGTCTGTGCTTACTAAAACTCTGTCTAGCCTTTCAAATGTCAGCGTATCAAGAGAGTTAGCCCAGGTAAAACGTCGGCCAGAGAGATCTAATTCTCTCAAGTTAAGACTGTCAATGCAAGCAATGATCAAAAGAAAAGGCCATCTATCATTGTATCTATCATTATTTTTTCAGAAGGTCTCCTAATAATATTGAAATCTCCACCTAAGAGCAGGGGTGAATCCAGGATATCATGTCATTGGGGTCAAGGACTAAGCATCGGGGTCAAACACATGTTGATTTTCTATTTGAAAGAGTAATTTGCAGGTGGATTAAAGAACTTTAAGTGTACTTCTGGCAAGGTACCGGGGTCAGCTGACCCCGATGGATACACATAGATTCGCCCCTGCCTAAGAGGGTTGGTTTATCTTCACTACTACTAATTTGAACCATCTCTGTCAGGAAAGATTCTTTTAACTCATCTTGTGCTGTTCCATAAGCAGCAATGAGAACCCATTCAAAGCCATCTTCTTTGGTTCGAACATTGAATTTAATGTGAAAATCTCCTAGGGTTATATTACCAATATCAAGAACTTGAAGATTAGTCCCAAGCAAAATTCGACCTGATTGTCCTCTAGGTGAAGTCCAATGCCAAAAAAGTCTCCCACCACAAAAGTGGTTAAAGTCAAAAGTAGTAAAATCATCTCTACGAGTTTCTAAAATTGCTATGAAATCAAGCTGGTGGTCACATGAAGTATCAAAAAGAAATTTATATTTAGCCAAGTCCCAAAGACCTCTGCTATTCCAGAACAAACCTCAAAAGTAGTAAAATCATCTCTACGAGTTTCTAAAATTGCTATGAAATCAAGCTGGTGGTCACATGAAGTATCAAAAAGAAATTTATATTTAGCCAAGTCCCAAAGACCTCTGCTATTCCAGAACAAACCTTTCATATTGAACTTTGTGTTTTAAAATTAGTGACATGACGAAACTGTACTTTTTTTTCCGTGAGGAATTTTTCTTTTTGGACACTGTATGCCATTCACCTCCAATATGATTGGCATCCTCATCGGCTAGTTCGTCGATTATACCACTACACAAGTGGCCAAGCGTAATATATTCTATCACATTGTCTTCTACCTCATCAGAACTATCTAAGCAATTATCCTATGCATTTCTATCTATCTAGTTTGCATGAATTTTATCAAGCTCACTGCTTTTAATTTCAGAAATAGACCTAAAGATGTCATTCTCATTTGAACCAAGAGAGATCCCAACATTATTAAGATTTGAAGAAATGGCATTATCAGAAATGGATAAAACTGAATTGTTAAAATTCTTACCATTCTTTGCTGGAATCTCCAAGTTCTTCATAGCCACAAGGCGTTCGGCTCTATCCAACGAGTCTTCATCAGCCGTGGCTTCCCTCCTTTTGCTCCCTCTAATCGGAGTTTGTGGCCACACTCTCTTGCAAGGGGTTGTTGGAAGTCTTGTATTCACCTCCGCATCATCCTCTTGCATCACATGTGAAGCTATTTCATCTAGCACAACATCAACTACATTACCCAAAATACACTCTGCTTGCTTCCTGTACCACGCCTCTGATGGTAAATCAGCACATTGGGTTGCAATAACGTTAACCTGATTGTCCATGTGCTTAGATTGCTCGGGTACTTCTACATTCAACCCATTTAGAAAAAATACATGGGCTGGATGCAAGATCCTCAGTATCTAAACCAACAGTAGGCTCCAAATGCCTATCCAAGGTAGTGGACAAGTGCATGTCACTTTGCTTTGTAACTTGCTTGTTACTGTTAGGCTGCTGATTAAACCCACCTTGAGAAGAGTTATGCTCACCTGTGGGAGCAGAGGAATTTCCACCAAGAGTAGCTTTAGAGTTTTGCCTATCTCCTTCTCTTCTTCTCACTTAGAAGATCATCATCTTCATCCATTGGATCTTTATCCTGGTCTGCACTAGAATGTGCTCCCGATCCATCCCCTTCCTCCACAATGAAATAAATGGCATGCAAATATTTTCCAAACACCACCTCAAGGGTTTGTGGAATTTTTTTGGGGTCAAGAACCGCCACTTTAATGCGAGCTAAATTCCCAGCTCTGGTAAAAATTATGTCTACCATTTGGGTTGCACCAATCAAAGTCCCAACTGCCCACAGAATAAGGTAGTTTTTCCTCAGTTGCGGTGGTATGCCTCCCACCTGGACCCAAACCTCTAGCAACTGAAACTTGACTACCTCATGAGTTCCCCAAATTTTACAATCAATAAAAAAACCTGGACGGTTCTTTACCTTTACCTCTTCAAACTCATCCAAGTGGGACTTAATTCAATCGCATGAAGGTAGTCCCTAACTAGAGGAATCTCTGGTCACACCCCTCTCTATTTGGAGGCACTAGTGCCCGGACGTCCGGCGCCAGCAATGCGTCCAGACGCAGCTCTCAGTCTCAGCCAACCGAATCATGGACCAATTTCTAGTCCCAGGCCCACCAACGGGAGCATCCCATCTCAGCATCCCCGCGTATAGCAGAAAAAAGTGAACCGAAGCGCTACACCCCTCAGAACGGAAGGGAGAGCACTGCTCTCGGCGTCCGTGCCACCATCCCGAACACGCACCCCCCCCGGCTGCGCGCCTCTCTCTCCGTAGTATGAGAAGAATGCAAGGGAGCAGAAGGCGAGGAGACACCAAGGCGAGGCAGCAGAAGGTGAGGAGGTAGATGCGAACACCTAATCTACTTTTAAAATATCCAGATGCAATACTTACAGCATACAAAAGAAGACAGATAAAAGTGAAACACTTGAAATATATGTCTGAAACACTTGCAAAAATACGTGAAAAAACATTTGAAAACTATTGCAAACATATGCAACATCTAGAACATACATGTGAAACATATGCAACATCCAGATAAACACACATGCAATATACATATGAAAAACAGATAAAACATTGGGAACAGACGCTTGCAACATACTGTACAAACCATTGCAACATATGCAACATCGTGATCTACTTTTGCAACATCCGTGTAAAACACTTGCAACATAACTCTGAAACATACGTTTGCAACACGTGTTTTTTGAGCTCAACATGGCACGGCGAATTGATGCGGTGGAGGCAGTCGTGACAGCAGATGGCGGCACCCGGCGAGGTGGAGGCGGCCGCGGCAGTCAGATGGAGGCGCCCTGCCGCGGTGGAGTTAACCAGCTGGCCTACCTAGGCGCTGCGGCTCGGGGACGGCGGTGAGGAGGGACAGGGCCGAAGAGCTTGACGACGAAGACAGTGGCGTGGTCCTGCGCCTCGGCGCCATCGATCCACTACAGCAGCGTGGGCAGGAGCGAGCGGCGCTTGCGGGGAGCGAGACGAGCAGAGCTTTTGTCTGTGTGGGTGGTTAGATGCGTCTGATGGGAAGGGGGTGGTTAGATGCGTCCGAAGGGAACAGGTTGTCCGAACACCCTAAACAGAGCATTACCGCTCTCTATTTGTAAACATTGGAGATCCAACTGTGGCTGGCTCTCCTCCTAACTTTAAATTTGAGTTGGGCTAGCTACTGAGAGAAGTTTTTTTTTTTACTTGGTTAACGATATATGGACCGGATTACACGAAGGATACACTCCGAACGATGGCAGACTAAAATTTGAGTCGATGCGGCTCCCTCAGGTATTTGGTCTGTTCTCCCTCCCTCATTCACTCCCCTCCGTCCTAGATCCCTAGCACTCGTGGACGAAAATCTAATCCAATCCGTTTTGGATTCATCCATTTGTTGATGATTTGTTTGCCGTGGTCGAGTGCTACGATTGGGTTTTATAACAATATTAGTTCCTTCGTAGGTGGAAACAACGCCGGCCCCGTTTTCATTGGTCATCACTGGCTCCGCACCCACACCTAAAGTAGCCAACAGTTGCAACCAGCAGTTGCAGCTCAACTGAAGAATCAATACATCTATGAGTATTATATATATAGCATCATTATTGCTTTGGAACCCAACTGAAGAAGCAACACGGCAGAGCAGAGTGTTACTTTATCTGTATGGTACAGCAACATAGCCTATTACTTTTTTTTGACAAAATTTAGATGATATTATACAATGTTCTTTTCTCTGAAGTAGTAGAAAAGACATGTATTGTGTGAGTAGTTTTCGCAGCAGACTTTGGATTAGAGTAGTATGGTATGTGTTTATCTGAAATGAGTTTAGGTTTGCTCCTGCCTCTGCAGTGTATGGAATTCTGAATACTTAATATGGGTTAATGCATTCTTGCTAGTGTGGGAATCTCTATTTTAAAGTTTTAATCTGAACATCTAATTTTATGAGATCAGCAGATTATTTAATTCTCATATTATTTGTCTTCTGCTCCCTATTCCATGCTTATAAGGAAAAAGTTTCTGTGCATGTAAATGATTGTTTAGAGATGGTTCAGAAGTTTCAGTGACATACAAATATAACCTGGAAAGATCTTTTTTCATTGGATCAATTCACTGATAATAAATCATCAATGTAGGGTTAATTTTTCAAAACAAAACAGTAGGTCCTGTTTATTTGAAACTTGCAATGATCACTGTAGGGTCCCCAAGCCAGAATTGAGAAAGAGCACAAAAGTTCCATTCTAGGATGTGGAGCTGCACAGATTTGCTTCAAAATCATATCCTTTTGTTAGGTGTCATTCAAATAGGAATACTGGAAACTATTGTGGTACTGTTCCTTGTGCAAGTTACATCCCAAAATTTTGCAAGGAAATAATGATAGCATTGTTAGTGTAAGTCCTTGTAGAAAGACTTTGGAAAGAGCTATGCATTACTTCTCACACAAACCAAATAACTAGTAAATTTGATTTGGTTTCGAGAGCAGAAAGATTTAAGTATGACATATAGGCTGAGAACATGTTATTTGGCATGTTAAGTCTGGTGCTTCACAGTGGTTTTGACTATAACTTTATTTGTCATGAAGCAGGACAGTGATGCCATGGAGCAGCTGGCATGGATCAATTAGTTAAAGGAACTGTTTTGTGGATTTTAATTTTCTATTGGTACAGTTCAAACATTGTAGTGTTTCTATTTTAGTAAGCACATAACCCATATGTGTTTCCTTTTGCAGGCTTGCTGCTCTTTGCTGCTGCGGCATGCTGGATGATTTTTGCTGCTGTTTCTGACATACATGCACCTGAGACAAGGTAACCTTACATGCCTCTAGGTTGATGTTAATATTAGTCTGTACACAATGCTTGACTCTTTGCAATCAACAAACTTGTGTAGGTTAGTAAGCTTGTTATTTGCTCTACACCATGTCAATTATTTTTCTATGTGCAGTTTAATATATTCTGATGCTAAGAATATATGCTAAGTTAATATTTCTGTTAAATTGGTTGATAATTTGTATGTGTGTCCAAGATTCAGTTTGGCTCCAATAATTAGTGATTGTCTTGCTTAGTGAAAATTGGAACAAGAATAGTTGTTTTTCCAGAAATCATTCACTTGAGCATTTACTTGTACTTGAGAAGTGGACCATTTGTAAGATCTCTAATGGCGTAATGAAACGTAGCTGATGCAAGTCTTCTATACTTCTGTAGGTTTTCTTCAAACAAGGATGAACCTTGCGAAGAGGCACCGTGCAGGATAGGCTAAATCAGTGGCGTGAAGATTCAATATTTTTTATAGATTAGAGTAGATTACAACTGTTTTGAGGCAAAGTTGGTTTGTGCCAATGTACTTGTGATATTCCTAACTGTTGGTGCCATTTTTGAACTTGATAATTTACAACATGGATTAATTGTATTATACTTGTCATTTGAAGAACCTAGCCATGTGTGCCTTGTGTAATATGATCTCTTCATTGAATTTTCATGCAATATAAATGGTTCAAGTTAAAGTTTAGATTATTTTGTGGATTTCAGCATAAATGAACTGATAGAAATGGCTGTCTTATTTCTGTCGGTTTAATTACATTTTTCTGTCGGTTACATGCGATTCTAAACCTGATGGCTCAGGATTTTCCTGTCAGTGGCTCTTTCCTGTTGACGCCAGTACCGACAGGGAAAAGAGTGTACCGACAGAGAATTTGGACTACCGACAGGAAAATTGTATGTCTCTGTCGCTTTATTCCTGTCGGTGTTTGCTATTTCGCTATCGGTTTTACCTCGACAGAAAAATTCGAGTTTCCAGTAGTATTAGCTTGGCTCAAGACTAGACCCAGAAACTCGAAACAAGCTGTTTGTCAACTGCATTGACATCTCTGATCCAACTTGCGGGGGGTAAGAAATGAGTTTCCTTGGTAAAAGTAAGACTACGGTGTTTGAACTTTGAAAAGATCCCTGCAGAAGCAGACACGGCCGGGTATAGCTGAAAGTGCTGTGGATTTGAACGGATCAAAATGAAACACAGAACTATGAGCAGGGAGGCTCAACGTTAAGAGAAATCATTTTTTAAATTATTTTGGCCTGCGTTTTGCCTGTGCTGAAGTCCTGTTTATAGCGTCCTTTGTCTTCTTACCCATACATTTTTTTAGATAATGGATAAAATAATATCCGGCCTCTACATCCATAGATGTACACAGCCTATTATTACAAAGTTTTGGAGGAAAAAGAGAGAGCCAGTCTTATAGATCGACCCGGACGCTAATTCAAATAGTATAAATGTTTCCATCCTTTATTGGATATCTCTAAAGCAATTATTTCCAATTTCTTGCTCATCGTAGAGAGCGCGTCCTTGGCTATCTCATCACGCTGCAGCTGGGCCTAAGAGCGTAACCAGTACGCTCCTCTGAAAATTACCTGCATCATAGAGTTAGATCTCATTTGATTAAAAACAACATCATTACGGCATCTCCAAATAGCCCAAAACATGGCAGCCACCCCCACCCAAATCAAATTTCTAATCCTTTTATTTTGATTAGTTAGCCAATTACCAAACATGTGGCTGATTGATCTTGGTTGGGTCAGACTAGTAGCAAAAAAGATAATCCTCCATATCATTTTGGTAAGGGGACAGTCTAGGAACAAGTGTTGGATAGTTTCATTCCCATTACAGCAGATGCACTTCTGACTCCCCTTCCAATTTTTCCTAGCGAGGTTGTCTTTGGTTAAGACGACACCCCTTTGCAAGAACCAAAGAAAGATTTTAATTTTTAGAGG